CTTGTTACATCGATCCTGCTATTGTTGTAAGGCGGAAGGCTTCATTTGGAATCTTCCGGAGTTCGGCCGTCACATTCGATTTGATGTCCTCCATGGCTGGGAAACTCATCCCCTTGAGGCCCATTTTCAGAGTAGGGAACAGCCAGAAGTCACTCTGAGCGAGATCCAGAGAGTATGGTGGTTGGGTGATGATGGGAATGCTTTTCTTGGCGAGGAATTGCTGCACAACCAGTGATGTGTGGCTCGGTGCATTATCGTGATGCAGAAACCACTCACCGTCACTTGTCGCGCCGATTCCTCCGCGTAACCTCTGCAACGAACTCATGGTGCACCACACCGTCGATGTCAAAGAATGCCATGATCATAACTTTTTCCTTGGATTGGACGAGGCGTGATTTCTTTGGTCGGGGAGACGACGCTGTGTGCCACTCGGATGACTGCATCTCTGGGTCGTAGACGAACACTCATGACTCATCACCAGCGATGATCTGTGAGAAACATCAGGTCCTGCATACTTTTCTCAAACAGATCTCCAGTGACCATCGTGCTACATTCCATCTGATCTGTAGTCAGCTGCCTCGGAACAAACTTCGCACCGACACGTCTCATCTTCAAATCGTCAGACAGAATCGCATGAATGGATCCACGAGAGATACCAACTTCATGTTCCAACTCCATGAAGTTCATCCTGCGATCAGATAGAATCAGTTGTCACACTTGTTCAATCATTTCCGTGGTTCTGGATGTCGAAGGCCTCCCGCTGCGCTGATCATCCACCGTCTCCTGTCCATTCTTAAACCGGGAAAACCAGGCGTAAACTGCGGATTTCTTTACTGCAGTATCACCGTAAACTTGCTGCAGGGCTGATAGTGTCTCTGCAGCAGATTTGCCCAATTTGCACAAGAACTTGAACTGCGACATTGCGCCGAATGACCTACACCCACGTCTAACTGAAACGGAACAGTAACGACACGGCACGCCGAAACCTGTCCAGACCTGTTGCCACTGCGAGCAGACATGCTCAGCTGCCCACCACAACACTTGCGAGCGCTATCTTATCTTTCATTCTCTGTCTGCAGGCAAATTCTGGGAACTTTTTAAATGCCCTACGTACATGTATACTTAGCACAGTTGGTGTGCTTATTAGAAACAGGTGTATGACTGAGCAAACAAAAGGAGCAGCTAAAATCGCCCTTGTCTGAGTGCCAAATTCCTGTAGCTTGATCAAACATGGTGGGATAGAAGAGGGGAAACTACTTTTCCTCATATCCAAACAAGTTGCTCTGTACATACAACAAAGCTCTCTACTGGGTTTACAATTCACGATGATCTAAAACAATGGGACTATTTGTATCTACCGCCTTTAAATTCTCCTCCAGAATAAGCCTTGAGGAAGACAAAGGAAAGATTACAAAAGGTTAGAACTGAACAGCCTACATCAGCAATTTGTGCATGCTGATTACTTGTTATATAAGAATAGAAATTACTTAACAAGATGCATAGGGAATTGATCTCAAAATACAAAAAAGTGAAACTACACATAATCACCAGGAGCCGGCATAGCTCAGTCAGTATAGTGACTGGCTACGGACTGGGCGACCGGGGTTCGATCCCCGACGGGGGCAGAGGATTTTTCCTCTAGCCTCTGCGTCCAGACCGGCTCTGGGGCCCACCCAGCCTCCTATCCAATGGGTACCGGGGTCCTTTCCCGGGGCGTGATGCTGACCACTCACCCCCATCTAGTGCCGAGGTCAAGAATGAGTAGGAGCTATACCTCCACTCCCCCCAAGCGCTACATGGCGTATAGTGGGACAGCTTTACTTGCTTTACTTACACATAATCACCTATGATTTTAATGAAATGTCTAATAGGCCATAATTATGAAACACTACCTTCCTGTGCCAAGAAATTTCAGACACAGCATTTATAAAAATCAAATTGCCCTTGAATTTTGTTATGTTACTGGTGACTTTTTGTATCAAATTGATTTTTCTTTTTACCTTGATCTGAATCTAGAGTTAGCTGGCTATGGTGATAGATTTTTAAATCTCTAGGGCATCCTTGAATGTAGCGGTCCTAAAGAGCCATTCCCTAGAGCCATTTGGGTGCAGCTGAAGAACTACCTCGAAGAATGTGGTGGACTGCCTCTTGAATACTGCACCAACACTGATGCAGCTCCTGTAAATCAAAGCAGTACTGACTTAAATACATGCAAATAAACTACTTCCTACAAATCATAAGGGTAGATTTTGAGCTTGTATGTGCATGCCCCTCTCTCCAACTGACTTTACATTTGAGATCTTGTGACCATTTTACGAAATGTGTTACAAATATAATGGCACACTGAATTTAATAACATGACAGCAATGTCCACTTTCATGTGAGAGCAACAAAGAAATCACAAATTGTACTGTCTGTG